CCCAGTTTTCAGTTTTTTATTTGTTAAAAAAGTTTAAATTATCCAATAAATTTCGTTCCACTTCACGATTGTGTCCCACTTGTTGTTGATTCTTGACAAAAAAAAATATTTTTATATCTTTATGTTTGAAGCCTGAAATGTGGCGAAATGTTCAAAGGTTCAAGGGGGCCGAATATTTTCGCAAGGCACTCTATATAAATGGTATGCATTTCTAAGCATGTGTTGTTGGGTTCCATATTCTGGGGTATCTAACTTTCTAAAACTGAAAATGTGTGGCCTCTCACATCTTTAGATCAAGTTTTTCAGAAAAGTGAAAAAGAGAGGACCGCCTTCACTCAAAAGTTAGATACCTCAGCTTAAACTCCTTGCCATATCTTGAAGACTTGAAATTGTTCCAGATATAAATTAATTACAGGACAGTTAGGTTGATCCAATCCACTTTATTTTTAAAGCACATTTTAGTTTCCAAAGCGCTGCTCAAAGACACAAGTAACACACATCTAGAAGTAGGTTTGGTTTAGGATTGGTGTAAGTTCAGCTTTACTTTGTGAAAAGAAGTTGCGTGTCAGTCACCGCGGAACCATACTCCACATTGCAACTCTGGTGTGGAGCAGGGTAACTTCAGGTTTAGAGGAGGAGAAACAGGTTTGGTGTGCTCATGTGCTCCAAATTGAATACATAGCCAATATAAGAGGTGTCATCATGTTTCTCTATGTGCAAAGAAGAGGATGAACCCATGGGACTTCAAGGCGGTCTGATTAACATTTAGGCACAAATAATACAATAAGCGCACCAGTTTATGTTATTGGGGATCCACAAGATCCTTTTTCATCTCCAGACAATTACTTTTATGCACTTTGTTATATCTGTCCATTAACTGAAATTGGTGTATCATTATTTTGAAGCTGTGTTAACTCTGGGTTGAGAGACTTAGTTGGATTTCTCTGTGTTTGTTGACATAGCTTCGAGCAAAAGGCCTCTGAACCTTCTGCACATGCAAACATGTTGAGTTGTTAGTAGTACCTTTTGCGTCACCCTAAGAAGACTTCACCTGTTCTACATTTTTCACTGCTGACTTGAAAGAGAGCTCAATTTTAAATATTTAAAACAATGATGTGAACTAAGCATGCAAAACACAGCAGAATTGAATCTGCATCATGACTTATGTAACCCTGTGCAGATTATCTTCAACCATATGCCAATAGCTACTGTTCGGGCATACAGACAAAAGGGAATGTTGCAATATAGATTTCTTGTCAAACGCTTCGCTGGAGTCAGGGCATGACTTTGAGACCTCGGGAAATATAAGGACATGCCGGACGGACAATGCCTCTCAACTGGTCTCGTGTGTGAAGCGTGGCGTCTCTTCTCTTAAAGCGAATACAAGTTAATATATGGTTTATTGTTTATGTCTATTCTTTTTACATGGATGAATAGATCAATAGAAAATAAAACAGATGGTCATGAAAGTTTACAAACCCAGGCTGAAATTGTTTGGAGGTTTTGGCCATATTCTGTAGATGAGAATAAAACAAAAGTCATTATTGGTTATGTCAGCTCCATGTCTCAACTATTTGTTTGGTAAAAAAAAATGGTAAAAAAGAGAAAGAAAATGAAAATTCACACAAGCACATGAAAAGTATAAAACAGTGTCTTCTGGTTTGAGTTAAATGTCTCCAATGAAGGAACCGCTCAGATTCCAAAATGTGGGGGAAGTGTTTTCTATTTTCAAAGTATAACATCATGGAGGCCCTCTGGAAAGATCTCACATGTGCAGTTCATGCAAGATAGCCAGGGAATTTACATGATCTGGAGGATTTTGCCAAGAAAAATGTGCATCAGAGCACAACTACCGTAAAAAACAGTTTTTTGAAACAGAAGACCGGTTTATTTGATAGTTAATGGCTTCACACAACCACTACGGATGAGGTTTTTTTTTCATTCATTACTTTTGCAAATTCAAATCAGAAGCAGTTGCATATATACATGAATAACTACATGATCTGAAATTAAATTTTTCAGATAATGGGTTGCAATAAGAACTGGGTCTTAAATGTGAAGATAATATTTTTATATAAGTGAAAATACACTACCATACTGTTTATTCTTATCCGTCTGCTGCTATAACAGTTGATAACTTTGATCTTGTTGTCTTCCCCAGGAGCTGGAGGCAGAACTGCACAGGACCTGGCAGGAGCTCTCCTCCTTGCAGAGCCACAGCAGCAGTCTGGCAGCCCAGCTCTCTGCCAAAGACCGGAAACTGATGACAAAAGAGGGCCAACTCTCCCAACTCCGGTCAGCCAACTCCTGCCCTGACATTCATGGGCGTCTCATAGTCTTCCATTTGTAACGTCATGTGTATCTGAAATGATCTCGTCTGCAGAAAGAATGCAGGAGACGGTATATGGCTCACTATGCTGCGAGGCTTGGGGGTGACACCGATTTCTTCCACTTCGGCTCACCTAAAGCCACTTGATAAGCCCTGCATAGTGGATGTGCTTTAAAGGAGGGAGGGAAGGGAAACGGGGCAGGCTTTGGCTAAGCTTTAGTCGATATGATAAAAAATTGTGAGAACTGCCGGGGTCTTAGCGGTAATCTCAACCTTTTTAACTACTTTTCTGTTTTAATGCCACTGGAACTTTGACATGTTAGTCACACCTCGACCGGAGACCAATCTTAAGGGTTTAGAGAGAGGATTAAAGATGTCCAGAGAAGTTACCTGGAGTGAAAAGTTAAATGTTGAAAAGGGAAATTAAATGTACCTGCTATTGCGCGATCTGAGATTACAATGCTCTCTGACTTTTATTGTGACAAATATTTTTTGTCAGTTAGACAATATTTAGTTATATTTTTTGGTTCTGGTTGAACGTCTGTGTTATGTGTTGTAATTAAAAAGTCGTGACTAGAAAAGGTAGGACAAAGTGAGATTTTAACAGAAGAATAAACAATGCACTGCAAAATGTTATGATATATAATTTAAGATGTATTCAAAGCTTTGGTGCCTAACTTGTTTGTTGTTGTTTGTTTGAGCAAATGGAAAATAAATTGTTTTTTATTTTTTAGGTTGATAAAAGCTGATCTGAAGGTGGTTCAGAGCCACAAACTATTTAGATGGATTCAATTTTGAAGTAACATTATCTGTGGTTAGCTGTAAACCAAAAACTAATTTCACTCCTAATTTTTAACAGAATTTTTGAACTACAGATTTAGTTCTGAACACAATTGTGGGTTTTTCACTCCTTAACGCTTAACCATTATAACCATTACCCACATGAACTAACACATCAACCAGTACAAAGTACATAAAAACATCACATTGTGTAATTGACAAACAAATACAATAAAATGCCAACATTGCCTGTCGTGGCACTCCAGCTGAAAAAGGGAGTGTTTATCTTAATGTCCCACAATTATGATCTTTTATGTCTTAAAGGAAGGACTGTGCGGAAGTACAAGCCCTGTACAAGCAAAGCACAGAGCATGCAGCGGATCAAAGCCATCTGATCCGACAACTAGAAGGACTCAACCTGGACACGCAGCGAGTCATGAGGAACCAGGAGGAGGCTCACAACGCAGACGCTACCAACTATCAAAAGGTGTCTACACACTTTTTTGTCGCAGCATAAAACAATTAAATAAGGTGGAAATACAGTGAAATACGAAAGGACAAAGTGGCAAGTGTGCATACTCGAAACATTTGATTATCGTTCAAAAGTTCATTCATTTCTGTAATTCAAGTTAACATGTGAAGCCATTATAAGATATAGTATGCAAAGTGACATATGCCAAGCCTTTTGACAATTTTGGCTTTCAGTCCATTTTCAAAATATAGTATAATTTTCTAAGATGTTGTATTAAGAGTTTTTGCAATCATCCTCATTAAAAACATTTGAAATATCTCACTGCATCTTGTCATACAGTATATATGTTTCACATTATAAATTTTAACTTATTAGTTTCGCCTGGCTTTTGCATGGCTTTTTTGAGTATACTGAGAAATGTGACAAGCTTGTTGGGTTCTTTTTGCAAAAAACACCATTTTCTTCCCCATTTAGCTTTCCCTTTTTTTCCCTTGTGTTGAAACAGCTATACACTGAGCTGAGCCAGAGTTACCAGGCCCTGGTCTCTAGTGAGGCCCAGCTCCGACAGAGCCACCAGGAGCTCACGGACCAGTTAGCTCAGAAAGACCAGCAGCTTCTCCAGCTCCAGTCCCAGATCCAACAACTGCAGCAAGCTCTGCCTCCACCGCAGCTCCCCACACAAACTCTGGAGACCGGCCCTTCTCCCAACAGGCAGACCAACTTTAAGGTGAGCGCCCTCTTTGGCTTCTTTTAGCATCTCGCCTACGGAGGCCATTCTCTTTTTTTTATTTATTAAACGCTCGGTAACTGGAGGCTAAGTAGTGTTTTTATGCAGCCTGCTATCTGTCAAACTTTGACATACATTTGTGTGGGAATAGAATGTTATATAAGAGTTATATATACATTAAAATGTGGCTCCATGCGCTCTATAACCTATGCATGCTCCTTTTCACGATGTCATGACCTCGCTGTCAATCATAAAGAAAAGGCTTCTATCAAATTGTCCCGAGGTACAGTAAATGTGATATGTAGGTGGATCAGAGCTCTGTAGGAAAACTTGTAACTGACAAGCCTGTGGAATGCACTGGTGGTCTAAAACTAAGCAGCACCAGCTCAGAACTGGCCTATCACCCTTGATCTCCGCACCTCTTTTAACACCCATGTCTTTCATGTCATTTTTCTGATCTTCCTTTACGTTGGGTAAACACCCCGCCTCTGCCCCCGGTAGTACTCAAAGGTCTAATTGAGGCTACACGATCAGAATTGATATAATTGCCATCATGAAAGGACTCTTGATGTCTAAAATGTGAAGTTGAAGGTACAGTCCGTGTCCAAGCTCCACTTTTAATCCCAAGGCTGAGCGTGTGCAGAATAAATGATAGACCACAGGCACCATGTAAATGTAAGTGGCCTTTAATAGCTTCAAATGAGGCTGTCCTCAGAGCACACAGTGTCACAGACCTGAGAGGGGACTGTCCTCCAGGGTCTATGGTGACATGGTTTACGCAAAAGGCCAAGACTCCCATTATTACATAATGAATGCATGTCAATGTTTTATAATGCTGTCAGATGAGAGAACATTTGTCTGCTCCAGACTGGAGAACTTTCAGAGTTGCAAGGCATAGTCCAATGGGAATAAAGGAGGCACTCAATACAACAATATAAATAGCAGCAATATATTTTAACCACTCGACAAACTAGATATGAAATGGAAGGCATAGCGTCAATCATTGTTTACTTCTGCACTCAGTCATTTAACAGTGGTAAAGACATTAGACATGCAAGTGGCAGTCTGTGATTAATGTTACATTGTGTACCAAAGGTTGGCTGAAATGATTTCAGATTAACAAGGTAATTTGAATTCACAATATACAGTAAATAGATATTCAGCATATTATATACTTATATATATTTTGGCTTGAAGTTGAATTTGTTTTCTGCATGAACCTAATAAGAAACTTGACTTGTGGACATATTGCACAAAGTGAGGATGTTGTATACACCATCCCTTCAGCTAACCTTTAGTCATTCCCCGTTACATTTTCAAGGAATTAGGAGCTGAGAATAGCTCTGGCATGTACTCTGGTTAGAGCCATCCATTATTTTTATTTTGATCACTGCAAAGGTGCCTGTGTTCCTTCTTCTGTCATCTGCCAATTGTTTAATTTGGTTGCCTGATATGTTCTGACAGCACTGCCCTCAGACTGTGGAAGTTTAAAGATATCGGCTCAAATGTTAAGTGAGCTACAATGGCTCCGTCTCACTTAACCCTGTTCATTTAGCCAGCGGTGAAACATAAATGGATCACTTAGCTGGTAATTAAATACAGTACTGCAGTGTTTCTCCAGTAATTAATACAACATTTAGCCAGGATGCTGTCGGCCTGTTGTGAGTGTGTGTGTGTGTATGTGTGTGTGAGCGCGCGTTGAGAGTGCATTGTGTGCACTTTGAATTTAGAATCCCACAAACCCCCCACATATTGTCTTCTTACATCCTGCATTCAAGTTTCTCTGCAAGTCGTAACTCAACAAGTTATTGGGGATGGATTTTTCTTCAAGCAAAATATACCGCAAGCCGCCAAAAAAAGTCCTCACATTTTTCTTTTGAACCAGGAACAATGTTGTCCCACTAAAGAAGCGTGCCAGACAAAACTAACTTACCTTTGTCACCCAAAATGCAAAAAGGGTTGTGTTTGAGTACCACAAGAAATCATATGCTCTGTATTACTGTCCATTTAAATCATTTTTAAGCTTTGAGAAACACATAGTAAGCATTTTTTTCAGTACATTTTCCTATAATTTGGTTAGCATTTAAATATTGATATTAAAATTCTGCCGCTGTCCAATAAATTGCTTTTTAAATGTGGGTTTTTTTTTCATTGTTTGACCTCACTTTTCTTGCCTTAAAATATAAATATAAAAATTTACATGTTGCTTATCATGCAACGGCGGGTCAAAGACAACAAAACAGATCACAAATAAAATGTAATTACAGATATACCAGGGGTGTAAATTATGCATAGAACGAGTGTGAACTTTTGTTTACTGAACACATGGAGCTCCTGTCTGGCTGATTTGTTTCCTTAACTTTCCTACCCACTGACATCAAAGTGAACAGATCAGGTATCCCAAGGTATAGGCCTCAGTCAGGAGGGCTTTCTGCTTCCCACTCCCGTAATTTCACTGACATTCTGTTATGATACGTGAATATCTTGAGCTAAAACGAGAGTGTGTGAGTGTGTGTGTAGCTGAGCACATAATCGCAAATTCTGTAACAACTTCCTTCCCGAACACCTGTTAAATTCTAATGCGCAGGTTGTTAAGGTAGATTTGATTTTAATTTTAAATGTTTGGGTGGAAGTTACCGTCGGAGGTGATCAAAGTGTCGATCGCAACAGGAACGCGGAGGGGGGAGACGCTGGGCTCATTTGAATACGGACCGTAGCGACGCCTTTGAACACCCCTCCTGCAGTGGGGGTGAGGGAGGAGAAAGGAAATAAAGCCCATTGTACTGCCCTGCTGTGTGCCAACAACGCTGCACTGGGCCACCTTCCTCCAACTAAACTCTCAGACTACTTGTATTTGAATAAGAGAATCTACTTATGCTATGTTTGCATTGCCTTTTTGAAACTTACTATTTCTGTGCTTGAGCTGTGGGTCATCGGCCCTTTTTAGATTATCCTCATTCTATCCTCAATTACAATGTTCTTCGCAAACTTTGCAGGGGTATGACAGAACTTTTTGTGTTTAAAACATTGCTTTCCAAGGTTTCACTCCACTGGTTGACTCGCTTCTGTCAGTGTGTCCTAGGGCAGCTGTGACTTTATTATCATAATTATTATTATTGATTGTATTTATATTATATAACCATTCTTTCCATTAGTTGTTTAGATCCTAAAAGGGAAGAGAATATGGAATTTTCTTGCCTTACTTCTCATATTTTCATGCAGTCCATTTGAACTCGGGCTGTACCCAACAACTGTAAATCAATGGTTAGGTGATTATTCTTATTTCAGTCATGGAGGGCCAGTGAATATGGGATTAACATACTGTAATTTGAGTAGTAGTAGTAGTAGTAATAGTTAAAGCAAATTATTTCTGTTTCAACAAAATTGATTGTTTGATGTAGCGCCAAGTGCATATCCATTTATTTCCTATCTTAAAGGCACACCGCGGACTTTGTGACCTAAAGAGTTGACACATATGAGTTATTTTATATGAATACTTGGGCCAATATACAGCGCTTGACACTTGCAATGCTCCGAGCGGGGCTGCCCTCTTGAAATACCGACCATGTAAGTTTAGAGCAGACGCACCGTCTCCCACCAGGTCACGTGACTTGGAAGAAAGATTTGCTTTACGGCTACAGGCGCTGATATACTCATGGAGCTAAGGCTTTTGCTACTCATTTTTCACCTGCTCGACTCCTGGTCATGGCTGAGGCAAGGAAAAATTTTAAACCTTCGGAGGAGGCTAAAAAGAGGAAACGCGAAAGGGATCGTGCTGTAAGCTGCATGTCTGTATGAGCGCTGCTCTTCACCTGGTTCCTGGATGTAATCGACTGCAAAGATGTCATTCCACGCAGCACGAGCTAGACGCAGAACTCCCTCATCCAGGATATAGAAGTCCATGTGTGGTAGATTACTAATGCAGCGGTCTGGAGGCTGACCACAGCAGAGTCTCTCAATATCTGTAGGCATGTCTCTACAGTTTGAACACACACACCAGTGCATGCTGTCTGAATACACACTCAAAAGACACCGGCTGACTGTTGACTTTTGCGACAGTGCTGAGTTGCTTGTGGCCACTAGGGGCGCTAAACGTGAAAGTTGCAGGTCTAGCGCCCCTAGTGGCCAAGAGTTACACGGTGTGCCTTTAAATTGCAGCTTAATGGTGAAATCATGAGAAACAAAAGTAGTGGGTTTTATTATTTAGACATGATGAATTCTAGTTTCCTCTCTACATATTTGTTTTATTTAGCTTTTTTTTTTACATGTTAGCGAGTTCAGGCAACATCTCCGAGCGTTGTCTCATTACTGACTTTAAAAGTGGCCGTGGTGAACATTGAATCATTATCAAATATCCCCCCTAACCGCAACGTCGTATTTATAGCTGTAAAGCGTTTGGCCACTGTCAAAGATGTGCAGTGATTAAGGAGCTACATTATCCATAGCAGACCTCAGGCTTTCTGGCCCCTTCCCCACACTAAATGAATGCTAAGTTGTTAATTGTGTGGGCAGTCATTCAAAGTGTGTCTTATTCTCCCAACAGCAGTGGAGATGCAACATTATGGAGCACTCTCTGCCTCGTAGTTGTTTTGAAACTTTTGAAACCATTAACAACACAATATTGTATATGCACAATAATAATCAGATTAATATCTGTGTATTTGTTATGCATCATCTTAAATCATTATTGTCAAAAGATAGATTTTTATGTCATGCTGCAGGTTTATTATAAAAGTGAACACTTTATTGAAAGAAGTGAAAGAAGGGTTTGATTCCAACTCTAAGCGAGGCCTTTCTGGGTGGAATTTGCAGGTTCCACTCCGTGTCTGTCTAGGTCCTCCAGGTGCTCCGGTTTCCTCCAGGTGCTACGTTTTCCCCTACCAATAAAAACAGTAGTTCACTTCACTCCAGTATCCCAGAACACAGATATGGCCTTTAGATAAATAAAAATGTGCATCAAGTTTGTCACAAAAAGGCATCTGCAAAATGTACTTTGGACCAAAGGATGTTGAATTCAACCTTGGCCTTTCTGAGACCCAGGGTGATTTCGTAACAAAAATCTTTCAGAAACCCAGATATAGTAACCACCAGTGGCATAAATTACAATTTGTCACAGACATGTGGCCATATATGCATGTGAAACCCAGATCTGTCAGACCTTTGATGCTAAGCAGGACAGGGCCTGGTTAGTACTGTGATGAGAGACTGCTTAGAACACCAGATGCCACAGTTGGGAGGTTTGCTGCTGTAAAGTGTCCTTAGGCAAGGCTACAGTTGAAGTTTATCACCACCGTGTATGCAGCGATAGAGGCGTCTTTGAGTGTCTTTAAAACAGCTATATAAAATGTGCTGCATCACATTTTTACATTTAAACTTTAAATGCTGCAGTACAACACAAATAATGCATCTTTTATTAAAAAAGAAATTTTACACATTAAAGTAGGCCTTTAAAATAGTAATTAGACTATTTACTGTAATTTCATGTTGAAGAATATGAAGTGATACACTTTAAGTCAGAGTGAAACCATTATCTAGATTAAAAACTGATTTTCCGCCTGTAACTCCCTATGCTACCGCTGGAGGGAGGTGAGAAATTACCAAAACTAATTTATGGGCAATACAATTGTTTGAAAAGGCAGAACATTGCTAAGTGTGTGATGTCATAGTGGTACAATGACTGAGATGGGTTTTAGACACAAGGTTTGGAGTTCCCTTTTTGGGCCAGAAGTTCCTGATATAAGCATGGTCTGCTTCATGGTCTGGAGAACAACGTTACAAAGGGAAAAAAGCTTTATGTTGATTTTGCATAATGTCTCCTTTAAATCTGATTATATTTCTCTGATCGTTTTGTAAATACTTTATACATATAAGCATGAAAATAACCCTTCAGCTATGATCACAGCAAAGTCCCTGGCTGTACACCTTGAAGTACACAAATAACATTTCCCAAGGTGACCAGGGTGTTTTACTCTCAATAAAACACGAGTAGCCCACATGGTGCTTCTCCCTCAGCTTATTGAGATGGTTTTTAACATCTGCTGCTGGCTTGTTATTTATGTTGTCCAATCTAAATGTTTTTAGATGTATAATTAATGCGCGACTCCGGCACGCTCGGGCATGCACAAGTACACCCACCATTTCGCCGGGTCATGTTTGGTGTAGGTGAGGCTCTTCTTTGATCAGCATCATCATTAATAGCAACCGTCAAAAAGAAAGCCATGAAACTATATTAGTACAAAGGAGAGAAGTTGTCTTTGAACAACAAGCGGCACTAACGGTATCGGTAGCTACAGGGCTTTTTATGAGCTAGTGTGTCTATTAGGCTTCCATGGTCGATTCGCAGCACAAAAAGTAGACTTTGGACGCAATTATTATTATTATGTCCTATAGTTTTCCTGGAACATCTTTTAGTTGCTCTGTTCAGTGCAACAATATTTTACATGTCCAAAACATGCAAAAATATTGAGCTCCTTTTTAAAGACGGATTAAGTAAACATTTCTGAACAAATCTGACCTCACCTCCACCACATGATCACAGAGAACATTTTATCTTTTACATACTGAGAGCTAGTTGGCTGAGTGAGGGCGGAATCTCCCGTTCACTGAGAAATAACCAAGGCCAAAAATACATGCATGTGAAAAACAGTAATGGAACCAAAGTGTTAAAAAACTATAGTTACATGAATTGTTTTACAATACTGGATCAGCAATGTAAAATGGAATCTGGAATATAGAACATATTGTATACTGGTGCATGAATGTAGACCGCTAAACATCTAATGCATGAAACAGAAGACACCGGGAACAGTGGGAACAGTTCAAAGAAAGTTAAATGGTTGGTAAAAAGTGTCAAGTGTTTTAATAGTGCTGACCGGGTAGACATCAAAGATAGACACACAATGTTCACAAGAAGACGTTGATGAAGGATGGTTAGAAGCTGAGTCTTCACTACTGTGATAGCAGACAGTTTGGAGAACCTAATAAGGAACACCCCAGGACTCTTGTGAAACGATCATGACTATAATAGTTTTTTAGTTCTAGTTTAATATTGTCATAAAAAAAAACAACTAGATTAAGTTGCATTAATGTGTTAAATATTGTTTGTGTCAGTTTGAGTTTATGCAGGAGCTGGTATTTGAAGCCTGGCCGTGTCTAGGGCCAAAGACATACTAATGACATGGACTCCAGTGGTGTGTTTTACCAGCTCAACTGCTCTCATTAGATGAGAACCTCTGTGTAGCTGCGCTAGCCTCATTAATGAAGCACAGCGGCGCTCTGTATAGCCGCTCCTCCTCTCGCTCAAGCGCATGCACCCAGGTCAAAGAGACTGCATGTGTGGGAGGACTGCAGGCTATGTACACACCAAACATACATCCTCACCACGCTGTCCTTCTGTAAAGTCCCTCTTCTTTCTACTTCGCACTCATGCATATATGCACGGGAAGCCCTCTGAAGAATAACAACATCTTGAATACAAAGTGCACCTTGCCCGAGCGGATGTGACCATGCTCTCCCAATCGCACAGACATCTTCACACAACCGCATGTGCAAGCATGTGTGTGTCTGCGTGTGGCGTGGGGGCCCCTCCTGATTGTAGCTGCTCCATAATTAACAGTGATCAGATTTGTTTTGTGGCATAAATGGTGCATGTGTAGAACATTAGGCCTGGCAAGTCTCATTTCACATTCAGCTCAAGGGCTCGGCAGCAGACGGGTCACGAGCTTCAGGGAGCGCAATCACAAGGCTCGCTCCATATGCTGCAGCCTGCCGCATCCTCACCAGCAAGGGCCGCTGGTGCCAGACGAGCTCCCACAAGAACCTAATCGTGTTCAGTAATTACCGAGACCAGCTTTTTCTTTTTTCCCGCCCTTCTCACAGCTTCCTCGTATTACATTTTTTCCCCTTCTCATTTTCACCTGCATATACCCTCCTCAATTCCGTCTTTATCTTCGCTAACTCAAGATACAATTTTTCCATTTTGTTGAGCTGATGTGTTTATTTACTTTGCAGTTTTGAGCGGGATTAGAATCGGAGCGCTCTGTGAAGCTGTGAGACGAAAACTATACGCACTCTCACATCACTTAATTTCTAAATTGCTTGATGCTGAAGAAGCCAGTCCATTCTCCTGACTGGCTGGAAATTATAAATAATTGTAACAGATGTGCCAATATGGCCGGACTCCAATAAACGAGGCCCCAGATAATTTGACCGGCCCACTTTGACAGGCCAATTTAATAAAACATGAACAAAATCTTCCTTGCTAATAATTTATCATCCCCTCTCCTCCCCTTTGGTTAAAGTTGATTACCCTGGCAGTTAACAAGGTCACGCCCAGATGCCAGCTTTCTGATAATGCAATAAGGACTAAAAAGGTGATGACATCCTATGTGTTTTACCTTGTCTGAAAGCAAAGCTGTTGAGGCCTCAACTTGATTCAGCCAGATGCGTTGAAATCCCGATAATATAAGCAGGTGAAATTAAGTTTTGTTTCACGCCGTTTTTAAACAACATTTTAAAAGAACAGAAAAGTGTAAATGTATGCGAGGATAGTGAAGCAGAGTTTTCTGAAGTGATCTACTTTCGGTTGAGAGGTGAGGATTTATTGTGATTAAAGGTTGCTACTCTGTGTCAAGTGTCAAAGCCAGGTTTAATACCCAAAACTTCTTTTTAAGTTTTATAAGTCCGTGTGGTTTGTTTTGACCGATACCAATCCCGATACTTTGGCTTTCAAAATCTGCCAATACCCGATATGAACCAATACCAGTGGCCATGAAAAACAGATATTTTCAAATCCCTCCTCACTTGGTTAAAATAAACTATTGGGGTAATTTGTTATGGCATTCATCCTACATGTTCAAACCCTTCTTGGTTTAAGTGATATTCTACATTACCTGAAAAGCCTTTGAAGCATCTATTCCAATTTTTGCACTCATATTGTGATGGTTTAATCTTGCAATAACAGTTTTGTACAGTCTCATATGTGTATGTATATATTTATCTGTGCTGTAAATATAATCCTATACTTGTGGAATTGCATTACTGGTTTGATTCTAAAATGTGTGTTTGTTTCATTGTTTTGACTTTGGATTCAACTTTATTGTCATTACAATCTAATCTCTAGCACAAGATAATTATAAAAGTAGAAATGTTGGTCTTCTGCTAATCTCGACCCTTTCCGGTCTCTTCTCCACAGGCATCGCTGTCTGAGTCGGTTCTGAGACGCAGCCACAGCTTAGAGCAGGTGTCTGCTCACGAGTTTGACCCAGGGGTGCAGCAGAGGACCCTCACAAACCATTCCAGAAGATCTGTCACAAGACACAAGGTAGGTTAACTCCACGCTTGGATCAAAACCATTCCAGCAGGATGTGAGGGCCAGTGGTGCGGAGTAGCTCATGTGATTCATCAGTCCCTGTTCGGGCCATCCTTAGTCCTGCACACACACATGCACACACACACACACACGATCACTGTGTTCTTCCCACTGCAAGCCAGCCGGAGTGATGCTGCTGGTTTCACGCATGCCTTGGGCTCAGGCACTGGCTAATTTTCCGCTTCAGCAGAACATTATGAACAAAACACAGGCGTTTGATCTACTCAGACTTCCACCCAGATGTGTGGCCGGACACGCTTCTCATCTGGAAATCTGAGTCATGGAGCAGAAAGAGAAGTTTCTGTTTTTACTCACAAAAATAAGACTATTGTCATATTTTCACACTACATTTTTATAAATTAATTAGGCCTGTAACTGACAATTATTTTGATCATTTGTTTATCAGAACATTATTTCAGTTAACATATAAGTTGGCAAGTAACTTTAGGAACACTTTAATGACAGATAAAGGCGAAGGTATGCTGCATTGTCCTTTTTGTTTGTTGTATAATGTTGTAGGATGTTTTACCATTACACAATTCCTGTTTCATTTTGTATGTAGTTACTGAGTCATATAAATACAATTGCAAGAGAAATGTATTGGTTATGATTATTCAATGAATCATTACAGCTCTGAATATAAAACACATCAGATGTGTATGTTTTTGAGCACAAACATCGACAAACTTGAGTAGGTTTTTTTAGCCTGCTGCTTTTTCTTTTTGTTCCGTATAGTATTGTAGTTGTATTAAAAGTATTTTTTTTTTATAAGTACATATTCACTATATGCATGTTATGCTTTAAGTGTTTCAAGACAACATTCGCATTCACTCATCCAACCTGAACAAGTTGTGCTTTGAGAGCCTTGAGACGCACATGACACACAGGCCGCAGCCATAAAAGAGGCCCATTGATGACAGTGACCCTCTCTGGGCAATGGAGGGGAGAGTGGAAGGGCAGATCTGCTGAAATGTTTCTTCTGTCCTCCACCGCCAGTGACACTGACCTCTGAATAAACACGCGCTCTCACCATCCTCACATACAGTCTTGTTTGCTCTGTTCCATCTGCATCGCGCCGTCCTGTTTACGCAGCATTACGGGGTCCATGTGGGGGTCAGGTCATCGTCGGGGACCAGCTGCAGGGCCCAGCCAGTAACCCTGTGGTGCTCTGTGTGTTTACTCTGTCAGGCCCTACCACGAATAATGTCACTTCATGTACATAAGCAGAAGGAAGCTCGTGTGTCATCCAGACCTAAGGGAGACAGACGACCAACTGGACCAAAGACAACATCTGACTGCAGGACAAACCATAGTCTGTCACTGCCATGCGTTCCCTCCATCATGGGACCATTAGTTTCGCTGCTTTACTGTCTAAAGTCAGCTTTGTGATTTATTCAGATTCTGAAGGGTAGTGAGTATGTTTGTTCAAGTTTTGCCTGAATCATCACAACCATGGGCTTCAGAACAATGAAAAATATGGGATTTACTATGCAAAACCACATTCTATTTTGGCCAAAGATGTGCATGAAACTGGAAGCTAAAATCTATGAGCCGTTTAATATTGTAAATTAGCAGACCTCTGAAATTTGGAATCGTGTCCAAATCAAGTTGTTTACAACTTTATAGTTTGCGCGAACACACACACACACACACAAAACATAGAATAGGACGAGCATAAAGCACTGACTGTGACTATTATCTTAACTACAACAAAAATGAGAGGAAATTGTTATAGAATATTACGTAATCTATATTGGAATATTAATGAAACACTGAGTATTCCCGCATGCGTGTCAGTTTAAAATTCAAATTATATCAGATTGGTCATATTTGTGTTTAGTTACTGTGGAATCCTCTTTGGCCTGGTACTGGTCCCTCATGTTCATGTTGACACGCCAAGAACGCCTGCCACTCATCAGAAATATGCAGATCAATCTGCTAATTAGTGGAATCCAGTCATTAAGACTTAAGCACCAGCACATGTTTGGCACCCTCGTCAGTCTGATAGCAGAAGGGGCGTGTCAGGTTATGGGAGTCAAATGTGGGCCCCAGGCTATTTTTTATTTTTTCAATAGTTTTTACAATCTATTACAATTTAGATTAGTAACAATTCAGACTTCAAGTCCTTTTTACTGTTCTTGCATAAAGGCAGGGACATTTTAAGTAATGTGAAGGGTAATGTGAACCCACATTATTAGAGTGACATAAATGATTAGTGCTTGTATCCCTTATACATTGTATAGTTGTCTATTGGCACTAGGAATATCAAGACTATTATCTAAATTGATAATCATGATTATTCAGGTCACAATATAATCATAAGAACATCATAAAAAAGTTGGTCCTTTTTAATGTATTGTCTAAGGGTTTTTTGGATGGTTGTATTTCATTCATCATATATACACATTGTTTTAGGCACTTTTTGTTGACAATATATTGTAGCATATTAGACAAATTCAGGCTTTCACTGCATTCATTTGCTTAGATGACAATAATTGTGAATAATTTTCAAATCATGTTTTTTAAATTCAGTGTTTTTCCACACAATAATTGTTCCTCTAAAATGTTGGTATTTTATTATTGATCTTCTATATTATTATATTATTAACAGATGAGTTCCATTAAAACAATTCTGAACTATAATTCTCAAAACAAAAACTCAAAAATAAAGTACACTTATTTCTTAAAAAATAATGTGAAATTTTGACATTCCTAATTGGTGCATGTTGGTTCTTTTAGTGAATGTCAGGTACTTTTCAAATTATTAAGCTCAAAAATCAAGCACCCAAAGCTCTCTGCTTACAAATTAAGGCCCTCTCCCCGTTGTTCATGTCTACATTGCATTTACTTTTACAGTCAACTTGCTGCATTGAACTTTGCCTGTGGCCACCCAGACCAAGACCCAAGTCCCGACCATAACCCATGTTGTAATATTATCATTTCAACATAAAACAATTTAAAGAATCAAATTATGAAAAGTTTAGCTTTGCTGGGCCTGTCAGTAACTGTGTATATTGTTGTAGTTTTGTAGTAGTAGTAGTAGCAACTTCACCGGCTTTCCGATATGAAACTTGTTTTTGAGCCAACTGAAGTCACTTAGCCAAAGATTAGAGTGATTAACTTTTAACTAAGAGACACTATGTTTTAGGATGATGAGCTCATTCTGGTTAACATTCCCATTATGGGCCCCTCATTCCATCATCGACTCCAGCCCAAGGACTGTTGTGCATTTAGTCGCATTGCATATTTTAGCCTGCCATCTGGTCAGCTCTGCTCAGACACCGCGGGGGAGCGCCTTTCCTCCCATATTCATATTCCACGAGCATATTGTTCCCTCTGCTTTTTCTCAGCAGCACTAAACCACTGGCATGCTTATTTATTTATTTATTTACTTCCACTGAAGAGGAACAGCTAGCAAACTGCAACTCCCCCTTCTATTCCGCTGCTCTTTCAGTTGTCCTATCAAGTGTAACCTGGAGGCCCCTAGAAGAGCAATTAGAGCGGCCTCCCTGCCCACCTCTTGTAATGAAGCCCAGCACATTGTGGAATCTATAGCTCCTTTAGTCTCCCCTAATGGGACATCATTATTGTCAAAGAAACAATGTAAATGGAAATGAACATACTCATTAGCCAGTCGTCGGGAGAAACCTTTGGCGCTCTCAGCTTGCAACACACATCCGTGCGCACACCAGCTTTACCCCCTTCAGGTCGTAGCCAACACTGCTCCAGTTGCTTTATTCCTCGGGTAGCATGTTTGTTTGTTTGTGTGTGTTACAGGAGCGGGCGTGTGTGTTGCGCTCAAGGTGAGGGGGGGGAATGGAATGAGCGGATTTAATTCCACTATTGGCATTCGCTCAGTGTTGCTACAGATGTTAATTGTTGCATGGGTTGGTGCCCGGGTGTAATTGAAGAGTGCTCAAGTTCTGCGTGTTCTTGCTTACCTGTGCGCAGCGCTCCCGCTCTCTGTCCCCAGCCAGCAGTGTGGAGCTGAGAGGAGAGGGCAGACAGGATGCAGAGACGAGGGTCCTGGAGCTCCAGGACATGCTGCAGCTAAAGGTACATTCTTCATTATTTACAACGTAATGCGATCACAGTTTATTATTTTAAAACCACAAAAAGTTATTTTGTAATATAATCCATTTCACTAGTTTTCACTATAGAACAAGTGGACTAACAAAATGTTGACGTCACCCACAGTGAAGAAGCCGTTTAGAGCTAACTCAAACAGGCTAATTGAGAAAATCATCGCAAATTGGTGCCTAGTCCAGGGCCGCATGGACTTCTGAATGGGGCTGTATTGGCCCAGGTCTGATTTATGTATGATCAGTGTATTGTGTTTTCTCATGCTGGTTGCTATTGCCATTGGGCTCTATTAAGACCACTTTCTGATAACAGTCACTCTCCAAAGGGTCAATTGTCCTAATGCTGACACTGTCTCAGCATGACCTTCCCCTAACCCTGCAGAAAACACACCTGCACCCACCCACAGAAAACAGACCTTATGAAACATCCTGGTCAGGTGGATACTATGAGAATGCCTTCCTCTTTATTGGCCATTTAACCTTCAAACACTCCTTTATTTGTACAATTATTCTTTACATTCTTGGCAGATTTAAACCGTTAATTCTTGAATGTTTTTTTCCTTCAATTCCGGTCTTCACCCTTGTCTCTCAGCCCGTTCTGGTGAATATGTGATTATGCAGAGGTCATCTCCCTTTTGAACACAATCCCAGGAACACTTTAGGCGTCATTTTCTTGTCAGATCGAAAGTGTCAGAATTACATCATCTAATGCCCATCAAAGACTCTAAGGACACGCTTGGCTGTGTTGGTTAATAGTGCCATTTACGTGTCTGCAGGCTGGGGTGAAGGTATGCGAAGAACAACTGACTGACTATATATACACTGAGTCTAATGACGATATTTAATAAGGGCATAAGGCCAGGAACACCATTTAAATAGTCATCTTCTTTTGTGTGATTCGATTTAAAGAAAAGTGACCTCTATTAGTAACACTTAACATCTCAGACCCACTTCTTAAATAGGTTAAGATGTACCTAATTGTCACTATATAGAATTGTGCCCTTTTCTACATGTTGCTAATTCAATGCATACTTTCCGGCATTTAACATGTTTTAAAAAGGCACTACTTTGGATTATTATTCCAGAACTTTACTTCTCAGTAGTTGTATTTCAAGGTAATTAACATTACCTAATTAGCTTTTTATTTATTTCGATTTTATTGTTGTTAAGAAATTATATTTTGATTCGACACTTGCTTTCTTCATACAACACCGCAATCACATGCACTTATTGTTTGTTCTATGATCAGTATTGAAATCTTTTTATGATGTTGATGCTGTAAATCATTATATTGTCACCTATACACTAGACCACAAAATGTATGTCCCTCAGCATATTGTTCTTGACCTCCTCTCTCCATTATATAGAGCGCTCTTTTAACTGGAAATACAACTCTTAAACAATTGACATATTGACCCTAACTGCGGCAGACAGTTGCCTCTTTAGCTTTAGCTTTTTGTGTTGTTTTTTTCCCCCTCTTCACGTAAACATTCGCTGCTGCTGTGTAATTATTTTTCAGCTTGAAAACCTCCACAGATGTGTACGCGGACTGGGAAGGGGGCATATCGATTGGTGGGCAAGGGTCTGTGGCCTGATGACCAGAGCGGAGCAGCCCGAGGGGAATGCTATAAGAGAGCCTGGGAATCCATGATGGAGCTAATGCCCTGCCACTAGCCCACCCCTCCTCGTCTCCATCACTTCGCTTTTCCCTTAGCTCCTTACCCTTCTCTTTGCTCCACGCCATTAATGTGTTGTTTTTGAGAGGTGCGCTCAGGATGCCTTGCAGATGTCCTGTGCGGATAACACGCACTGGGGGGTAATCCATACTTGTCACGATGGCAGCTGTACGTCTGGGGGTGTGCTTGGCCTTCTCCTTACGTGCGTGTCCAGTGCATGTTTGCGTTCCGTCTCTGTTCTCTTTGTCCTTGTTAATAATAACAGGGCTGAGGGCTCGCATTTCCCTCTCTGCAGGGCAGCCGTGTCATATCAGCAGTAAACAAGCTCCTTCCCTTCAGAAAGCGCTCGACAACTCTCCCCAGCCCTGGCCACTCAAGCAGAAACCTGTCCTGCACTCCTCTCGTCTTTGTAATTCCTTCTTTTTTTTCCCCCCACACATTTTCATCCTCTTCTTCCTCCTTTCCTCCTTTTTTTTCACCTTCGTTTGTCCTGCCTGTTGAAACTGTTTTGCGCATCGCCCTCTCTGTTAAGGTCAGCGGGATGGGGAGGAGCGGTGTTGTGCCCCTGACAAGAAAGAAATCTATACGTTGTCTTCTCCCAGCTCCCACTTTGAAGACGCTCACCCAATCTTTGCCGCGTTTTTAATAGCTGTCAACAACATTGTCAGCAACAACGCGCGCCCGGTCGTCAACTCGGTAACTCTAGTAAGTGGGTTCAAGGATGCGAACGTGTCTCGTGTGTCGGTTTGTTTGATGGTTTGTGTCCTTTTTCGACCGGCCATCTTAATATCTGACTTTAATGATGTTTCTCACTTGTCAAGAGGAAGGAGAAGAGACAGCCGTGTGTAGTAGTTGCAGACTTTTGTCAGGCTCAGGTGCACTAACAGCGTGGCAAATGAGTAAATACAAAAAAAGAGAGGACAGAGTTTCCCCACAACGCATCAATGTGGAACACTTTACCGTCCTCCCCCCACAGAATTGTTCTGTTTATTTTTTTCTAAAGTCACTCTTTCTTTCAGATTGAGGAGAACGAGGAGTTGAGGAAGGCACATGATAACCGCCGAGAACGTCTGCGCCTCATTCAGAGCAACTATAGGACAATAAAAGACCAGCTGAAGGATCTGGAGAAGGCCAGTGGCACGTAAGTAGAACCACTCACACTGCATGAAAAGTTAGATTTTCGTCACCCTAAACTGCAGGAAATCACGCTCTTTTTCGGGTATCTCAGGCAGTTTTCAGAAGGCGCAGTTAGGGTGCCCTGTCCTCCAAACTGCCGCATCCGTACCATGCTAATGTCCCTACTTTGCATATGAATGCAGCAAAACACTGCGGCCGTCTGAGCGCTAATGGCCCTAATTAGCATATGAATGCAGCGTCTGGCCAGGCTGCTATTCAGCATTGGCAGATACCACTTTCAAACTCGTGATTGGCTGAAAAATCACACGTGGCCAGCCCACGTGGGATTACTCCCCATTGGTAGCTTACTCCCCATTGGATGAAATCACTACTTTCAAATAAGTATAATCTCTCGTGATTGGCTGGCAGATCTGTCACTATTGGTCACCCTGCCTCATAATTAATGTAATAATATTTATATAAATATTCGTATTATTTATAGAAGAAATGAAAATTTTCCAGGAATATGTTCATACAAAGAAAGCTTTATTAAAACACACACACACAGCTTTATGCTCACACATAGGTAATTAAAAAAATACAACTCTGAACTGTCCAATAGCCTCCTCGGGGTTGTAATTTGGCAGGGTTCTAGATAGACGCTTAATGTGCGTGGCTCTGTACTTCCGCGCCGCCTCTAACCGGGACTGCAGCTTGACAGAGTTCAGAAAACTCCGGCTTTCGAAAAGACTGCGACCGCACAATCCATCCAGAGACACCGTCCACAACGCCTTCTTCTTCATTGGACATTAGGTCTACCGTGGCGGACTTCCAGAGTTCCACTTTGTCACTTTCTAGCACACTCGATTCCAGCGGCTGAAAGAATCAGTAAATATTATTAGCCACATCAAATCCTTTTTCCCCATCTAAACATAGTGTCTAAAGCAGACCTGGAGATTCTTATCCATGCATTTGTCTCCAGTAGGTTAGACTACTGTAACAACAGCTGCATTCAAAATGCAGCAGCTCAAGTCCTAACCAGAACCAGGAAGTACGATGGTAAGGCAAGTTTATTTGTCTAGCACAATTTATACACAAGGCAACTCGAAGTGCTGAGCAAAATAAGAAAGCATTAAAATAAATAATCCCAGTACATTAACAAAGATAAATATAAAATCCCTCAGTTGTAGCACAGCTGAAGTGACAGCTCCTCTCTGACAATGTTTAAAACCAGGTTAAAGGGAGAAACAGTAAAACACTTACACACAATGTCGTCTTTATCAACATCGTGGAAATGTGGACTTATTGTTCACATTGTATTGCAGATATTGTGTTAAGCAAATAGGAGGTCACCGTCTCATTACGAGGCGAGATTAGTCTGAAAACAAAGTGTACAGTTATGATTGGTATCTATACATATCCATTATCTACACAAAACGTGTAGGTAAACCAAATTCAATTTCCATGGATACATTAACAATACTTACATAACCTTTTTGAGAAAATGGATCCTTCAATGAAAAAAGTGTGATAATTCTAAGAGCATAGCTTTTTTTGTTTTCGGGAAGGCATTTGTCTAAGGAGAAAAAAACACTCATGGTCAAGGGACTTCATGGTTACATAAAAAGGCTAAATTAATAGTATCTACAAGTACATATTTTCACGGGGACCTAACCAAGAGATAATCTACAGGAGAACATCTACCTAGGTCATTTATAAAAGAGATCAGTACTATTTATCTTACAATGGGGAATCAATAACAGTGCTGAGAGAAACTGAATTGTTACGTGATTATTGTGAAAGGTCTTTCAAGTGATTTTCATTTTATTTTGAGTAAATATCCTTCCACTTGTAAGAAGGAACTTTTGAGTAATAACTGAGGGATACAACATACCCATGTGTTTCACTCATGTCACTGACGAGAAGGTCGACAAGTTGTCTTCGAGAGCGGTGACTTAGTGATCTCACAGAATTATAATCTTTAAGGATCTCTCGGTCACCAGGGTTTTCCTGCAGTTCCACCATCTACAAACACGTGGAAAATGTAAAATGACAATCTACAATTGTACCAAAAATCTTAGGATACAAAATGCAGCAGGACCTCTTTTGATGTGTACCCTTCTCCTTTCCCCATCTCCTCTGCTGTACATATGTGCATTACAACACCAAACACAATCATATGTCATTTCTTTTTGTTATTGCTTTATGAACTTACACAGGAATCGAGGTGCCGGACAATCTTGGAAAGCTTAGCGCCAGCAGACCCCCTTTTGACCTTAAAGAGCTTGATGAACTGTGTCGTTAGGTAATCCAATGCTTCAACAAAATCATTGCCCAGTTTGGAGCTGGTGATCTGGTTAAATTCTGCCAGGACCTGCAAAAAAAAAAAAAAAACAAAACACTTCAAGTTAAATGCATAGATGTAAAAAATGTGTACACACCTGTCTCTCTGTATAAAGTGCTGGCCAGCGCGCTTTGACATTTTCCACAGGTGGGACAGAATTGACTATTTCTTGTTGTCGGACTGCAACTGTAAGCAAAAAAAAGAATAATCAATATATATAAAACAATATCACATGATTTTTGCTCAAATGTGTTTAAAGGAGGTCTAGATTCACTCAATAACATTATTATGCAATGGACTTAATAAACAAAACAAAAAAAAATGAACAGAAAGACAACAGTGACAAATGAGATGAAAAAGTACAATAATAAAAGTGAAAGTCTTAGCGCTCAAACAAAGACAGGAACAGTGCAAAACAAATGATATATGTTAGATATTCCACAGAACTCTAGTCCACAGTCTCCTGTACATCAGGCTCTGCCATGAGCACAAACTGCTTTTCCTTCGGTTCTTTCTTCGGAGTCTGCTCTGTGCACCTCGTCCATGCTCGCCATTTAGACTGAATAAGTACAAATTAGAAATAGATTATAAACGGGTTGACGAACTTCCCGCTCAAGATGGCGATAACGCGTGGCAGCGCTCTCTCATCGACATCTACACATCCACGTCCACATTCCTCACCACTGCGAGCAGAACCGCGAGTGGTACCATTGTGTTTGAACCCGACCCGAGCACAAACACTGTGTCCCTCTGCTCCAGGCGCGTTCGAACACCGGTGCCAGTGCCACGGACATGCAGCAGCCCTATATTTTCTACAAAACTCATGTAAAATGTCTTCTGACTGATGAAAGGGCATACTATGTAAAGTATAGTAACGATCAAAATGGCGGTACGTCGGCAGATTACTGATAAGGTTCGCTGAGAGCCTAATAAATACATACACCTTTGACAGTTTGATTAGTTAGCAGCGAAATGTCATGAAAAATATCAATGCAAAGTAAATAAAAGTACCTTTATGATGGCTAGAAAACGAGTCCTCCAGACGGCCCCAGTCCACGTTGTGGAATCCCATGGTGCGCATGCGTGTCACAGTATTGCACGTGACGTAAGCGGAAGTCAGCTACGGCAACAAATCGGGACCAAACTTGGTACACTTTATTAAACATGTAATTCCAGGCCAGTAGACTTTAGTAATTCCAATAATTTGAATTTAGTTCATAATAAATACGCAACCTTTTCAAGAATCTTTGAAAAACTCAAAGTTATTTGATATACTTTACAGCACATTCAAACATACATTTTATAGTAATCAAACTCATAATGTGAATGTGATTTTTTTGATAACAGTACAATATTTAATTACCTTTTTTGTGAAATCATGTCCCACAGAAGTTAGAAACACGACAACTTTTTTGTCTTTGTCAAGTACTACATGTTTGTCACATTGTATAATAACATTTATTATGAATAATAATGATTTTAAAAAGACAAATGGTGAGCAACAGTTCATTGGACAGTATAAGACACCGTTTTTTATGTTTGTTTCTTAATGTATGTTTGTGTGTTTTATTGTTTGTTAAAACATTTTAAAATAAATTTAAAAACATGTAAAAAATAAAATTAATACAAAGTGCATTTGAGCTAGCAGTTGCCACAAGCCCTGAAAGACAAACCTAATGTTGTACTTAAAACAATTAAGTTTTCTCTAACCAGCCGTCTTGAGTTATCATTTTAATTGAAAGTACTTCATTATATTTACTCAATGGTGTTGAAAAAAGTGAAGAAATTATTTTTTTTAAAGTAAATTCTACTTAATGTTATTAAGTAAAACCAACAATAGCCGCTATTCATTTTTTTGAGTGTACCTTTATAAAAATGAACAACGTGTCTTAACACTTACCGTACATTCAAAAGAGTCCTCTCTTCACGTTCCACGAGACTCCACCGTCGACTTCAGGCAAAGTATTTCCTTGCGTTTTGCGCATGCGCGACATGCGCATTCAGTTTGTGAAGCCCCAAGTTTTGGTTGTGTAAAGAGAGTGATGATAACACCAACAGCCGTTTGTGTGTGTGTATATATATATATATATATATATATATATATATATATATATATATATATATATATGGGGTGCTACTTTGAACCGAGAATATAACACATATTTTCAGTTGGTTCATACTTTTTCTTTTAGGTATGTACATAATTCAGTTTTGATGCCTTCAGTGTGAATCTACAATGTTCATAGTCATGAAAAAAAATAACAAATCCAAACTTTTGGTCTGTACTGTACATACATATATCCTTTGATGAGCACTTACACTTTCAACATGTCTTTTGTCCTATTGGATTTATTTAATTGATTTTGACATGACAAGCTATAATCAATCATGATCAAATATTTATCTGATGTGTGTGTGTGTGTGTGTGTGTGTGTGTGTGTGTGTGTGTGTGTGTGTAAACAGTTTGAGCATTTACAAAATCCGGGTCTACAGTGTGTGACCTGATCCAAGGTGCAGACTGACTGAAAGTAGTTGTGCAGCATGGATCAAGTTATGCTCCCCCTCAACCCTGATTAGCATTTGTATAGCTCACAGCATTCCCATTTACATGTTAAAGCCTCCTGTGGAGGAGGGAGGAGGGGACAACAAACAGCCGAATCCCAGAAGTTTCACAGTAATATACAG